TGCGATGCCGTTTCTTTGATTGGGCTGCGAAGACCCCTTGATTCCTGCTGCGATTTTCTTGATGCTATGCCCGTTCTTTGAGATTCTGGCTACGATGACTTTCTATTATTCTGGCTGCGATGACCCGTTTTCTTGATTCCGGCTGCGAAGCCGTTCTTTGATCCCTGCGAAGACGTTCTGATCTGGCACGATGGCGTCGTTCTTTAGATCCTGCTGCGAGACCCGTTCTTGATTCCTGGCTGCGATGACCCCGTTTTCTTTTGATTTGCTGCGAAGACCTTTTCTGATTCTGCTGCAGACCATCTGATTCCTGGCTGCGAAGACCCGTTTCTTGATTCCTGCTGCGATGGCACGTTCTTGATTCCGGCTAGATGCCGCGTTTTCTTTGATTCCTGGCTGCAAGACCCCGTTTTCTTTGATCTGGCTACGATGAATTGCTACGATGCCGTACTTTATTTCCTGGCCCCGTTTTCTTTGATTCCTGGCTGCGATGGCCCCGTTTTCTTTGAATTTCCTGGCTACGAACTCCGTTTTCTTTGATTCCTAACTACAATGACCCCGTTTTCTTTGAGATTCCTGGGTCCACTATGATAATGTGGATGGTGACAATGATGCTGAGGATGAGGTTGAATTTTTATCGTGTTGTGTAAGGTGTTATGGATAATAATAGTCTCTGTATTAATGATGGTGACGGTAATTATGGTAATAAGACTCGCAGAAATTATAACAACGACTACAATGGATATTTTGATATCGTTACCACTATTGATGATAACGATATTGATAATGAGGATGGTGATGATGATATTGATAATGGTAATACCAATAATGATCATGGTTATAACAACTACAACAATAATGATATTCATAGTGATAATGACCATGATGATGGTAATAATGGTAATAATGGTAATGATAATAATAATAATTAACATTATCATGATAATGATACTACTAATAATGATAATGATAACATAATAATGATAACAATAAAAAATCAATGATCATAACATCATAGATAAATTGAGAAAGTTAGAGGAGAGGAGAGGGGAGAAAGAAAGAGGGAGAGGGAGAGGGAGAGGGAGAGAGAGAGAGAGAGGGAGAGGGAGAGGGAGAGGAGAGGGAGAGGGAGCGGTGCATGAGAGAGAAAGAGGAGAGACGGAGAGAGAGAGAGAGAAGAGAGGAGAGAGAGAGAGAGAGAGAGAGAGTGAAGAAGAGAGAGAGAGAGAGAGAAAGAGAAAGAGAGTGGGGGGAGGGGGAAGGAGAGTAGAGAGAGAGAGAGAGAGAGAGATAATAATGATAATAACGACAATGATTGTTGTAAGCCACTAAAAGGAAATATAAGACCACCTAAGAATTTTTTCCCATACACAGCAAAAACAGCTTTTAATATTCCAACTTACTCAGGACACTGCATCATCACATATCTGTGCGTGTGTATGTGTTTGTTTAATTTGTCCTGTGTGTGTGTGTTGTTTGTGTTGTGAATGCCGTGTGTGTGTGAATGCGTGTGCGGGTGTA